ATATGGAAAATTGTGATGATTTGAATAAAAGGGTGAAAGAACTGGAGAACAAAATAGATGATCGTGAGGGAGGAGGATTCAGTGTTGTGGTTAATCAGGCCTCCTAAGCTGCGTTAAGGGAGTGCATGATCGATCTTTGGTAAATCTTGAAACTTCAAGAAGAATTGTGGAAGCAAAAATCAAGGAAGAATTGACTCAAGTTAGACGATTCCAACACAACCTTTTTCCATCAATCAGTGAAGATTAGAACAAAGAAGAAATTGATTGGTGGCATAAAATTTGGAGACAGGTGGATTGTTGATTCGCTTGAATTGAAGAATAAAATCTTTGATCATTAGGATGAGAAAAACTCTACTCGAAAAATTGATTTTTTCGACTCGACTCGAATTGAGTTAGAGTTGTAATTTCATAGACTCGACTCAAAAAAATTTTAGTTCAAATTGAGTTATATTTTACAACTCGAATAACTCAAAATTTTTAGTAATTATTATATTGATTTTCAATTTTGAGTTGAAGTTTGAGTTAAGTCCCTCGAATTTATAATTGTTTTAGTAATTATTAGATTGATTTTCAATTTTGAGTCAAGTCCCTCGACTTTATAAGATATATGTGAATCATATATAAAAATACAAAAAATATATATGTATTGTATATGGTTATAAAATATCATTTAATAGGAATCAAATAATGTCATAAGATTGTAAATATTTATAATTAAATTTAAATGAGAACTCAAAAATTTGACTCGACTCAACTCAACTCTGAATTATAAAATAGGACTCATCAACTTAAATTATTCGAAATTTTTTTACTCGATTCGATCGAATGTTCACCCCATTAATCATTACAATAATCATTTTGATTGTAAAAAGAGAAACTAGAGGGCGATTTTCGATCTGAAATTTAAGATCTCAAGTTGAGCTGCATGCAATTTGGAGGAGCATTTTTCTGAGTCAGAATTAAAAGAAGCAATCTGGAGCTGCAATGAAGACAAATCTCCAGGACTGATGGATTTAACATCAAATTCTACAAACATTTTTGGGAAGAGATTAAGGAAGACTTGCTAAAAGTGTTGACAAAATTATAGATCTGGCAAAATTTCCCCGAACATGAATAACTCCTTCATTGTCCTTGTTCCGAAAAAGGAGAATCAAGAAGTAATATCATAATTTAGACCAATTAGCTTGATCGGATCAATTTACAAGATTATTGCTAAAATCCTCTCCAAGAGATTGAGGTAAGTTATCGACGGTATAATCAGTGAGACCCAATGTGCTTTTATACAAGGGTGTCAGATTTTTTATAAGTGATTCATACAATGTCTACAGGAGGTAGGGGATCGAAGGGGGTTGTGATGAAATTAGGTTTCTCGAAGGAGTATGACTGTGAGATGGATTTTCTTGGGATGATCTTGAAGAAAATGGGATTTAAATCAAAATGGAGGGGTTGGATGGTGGAATGCATCTCCTCGGCCAAAGTGTCGAAACTTGTTAATGGCTCTCCTACAGGAGAATTCTCGATGAAATCTGATGTCTCCCTTTTTGTTTATTATGGTAACTGAACCGCTGCATTTATTGATTAAGGAAACTGAAGTTCGTGGTTTAATAGGAGGAATTAAGGGGGTGTTATCAAGTCATTTCCCATTTGCAGTTCGCGGATGACACCATTATGTTTGTCGAGCCAGTGGAAGAATTTCATGTCAATGTCAAAAGAAGCTTAAGGTGTTTTAAAGCTTGTTCGGGTTTAAGTATTAATTTTGGAAAATCATATATTATTGGAGTGGGGATCGAGAAGGAAGAAGTGGAAGAGTTGGCAAGTTTTAGTGGTTGTGTGATAGACGAACTTCCCTTCTCTTATCTCGGAATTCCGTTAGGTGCTGACTCGAGAAGGAAAGCGACGTGGGTTCCGGTGCTGGAGAGGCTTCAAGCAAAACTAGCAAGTTGGGAGCAAAACTCATTGTCATTAGCTAGTAGACTTGTCCTAATAAACTCGATGCTATAATCACTCCTGTTATATTAAATGTCTCTGTTTGAGATCACGAAAGCAATAATTAAAAAAATCGAAAGCTTCGGGCGGTGTTTCCTTTGGGGAGGGGATGAGAGGTCAATAAAAATGGCGAGAATTAATTGGAATAGGGTATGTCGACCGAAAAAAAAAGGTGGAGCTGGGGTGATTAATCTCTAAGCCAAAAGTTCAGCCCTGTTGGCGAAATGGGGGTCGAGGTTCGCCACAGAATATGGTTGTGCACTCCAAGGCTGGTTATTGAAGGCTCCTAAATCAAAGAGAATTTGGATAATTTGGAAAAGGATTGTGAATAACTGGAAAAGCGAGATAGTAGTTGGATGAGCGTTAAAGATTTTAGATGGCAATTAGGTGACGGGAAATCAACGTTATTTTGGGAGGATTTATGGATTGGCTTGAGGTCCTTGAGAGTGTAGTTTGTAAGATTATACAAGTTAGTTATTAGTAAAGGTGTTAAAGTAGCCGATATTGCAATCAAGGGGGAATTTTCTTGCGTCAAGTGATCTTCTATATTTCGGAGACCCTTGCTAGACTGAGAGAAAAATTACTTGTCAAATCTTGAAAAGATTATTTGTTGGTGTTAAGCTTAATGTTGAATTACCGGACAGAATAGTGCGGGTACATGATAGAGCGGGCATCTTCTCAGTTAAGAAACTTACGGAATTGATGATTAACTCTCAAATAGAAGATCCAGAATTTGATTTTGACAAAATTTGGAAGTTGAAGGTTCCACCGAAGATTAAATATTTTTTGTGGATGTTGATGCTTGATAAAATCCTTTCTAAATTATTTCTTCGCTATCATGGAATAAAATTAGAAGATGGTCAATGTGTTTGTGGGTGATGCAACACTGAAATGGAATACTCCGATCATTGTTTGTCCCCTGCAATTTTACCACGAATTTTTGGAATGAAATAAGTAGCTGGTGGGAGTTGTCTTGGACCAGCTGTTCGAATGTGGTTGAATTGTTAAAATTTAGTCTTTATGCTCCCATTACAGGGATTAAAAGAAGTATTTGGCTTATCTCCTGCGCAGCGTGTTTGTGGAGTCTCTGGATCGCTAAGAATGATCTGATATTTAAAAAAAGAGTTATTCATGAAAGAATGTAGTTTTTTTATCCAAATTAAGGGAGCTAACTTGGATTAAAGCGTCGAATTTTAAGGAGTTTGTGGAATCAGATTTCTGGTGGGAAAAACCGACAATCTGCTGGTCTTTAAATTTGGGTTTCTGTCACTATAAAGCTTCTTGTAACCATTTTTCTGATGGGCCGTGGAAATCTTGTGTGGGTGGAGCGGTTGTGAAAGCAAAGGTTGGTTTGGGGGGTTACTTCGTTTGGATTCTGGAATTATTACAGCAATTTGCTTCGGTCATGTGGAGGGTTCGAGTTAGGATTTCGCTTCCCTTTCAACTGTAAAGCTAGCTTTGGAAGTTTTCCTTGAAGTTTAGGGTTCAAGGAAGGAGAGCTCTTATATTGGAATCAAGCTCCAAAGTTATTTTGAATTGGATCCAAAATGCTCATTCTAGACCTTGGTAGTGGTGGTCTATATTCCTTGAGATCGACAGATTATCTAGTCTTATTGGCAACATGAGTTTCTACTTTATCCCTAGATTATGTAATGGGATGGCGTTAAGATTTACATGTGTGGGTGCCCAGAGATCCAAGAACTTTAAGGCTCGGTGGTAATTCCCTCTTTTTGAGTTTGATCAAGGGGGAGGGCTTTGGTAATCTGAGTTTTGTGTTCTTATTCTAGCGGGAGGAGTCGAGATAGCGGTAGATCTGGTTCATCAGGCTATACTGTTTTGTGGATCCTCATCAACTACATATTCCTTTGTTTGTCCAGTATTCAGAGTGGATTATTTGTTGGTTGCTTTCATTAGAGAGGAGTGGTTTTATTTGCTTAGGAGTGGTTTTATTTGGTTAGGTGTGTCTGTTTTGTGGATCCTCATCAACTACATATTCCTTTGTATGTTTGATTCTAGCTTCGTTTGGTCAAATTATATATACTCTTTTTCTCTTTTTAGGCCTAGGAAACTTTTTAGTGAAACATACAATTTGATCCGGTTTTCATTTAATTAAATAAATCTTCTTTTGCAGAGAAAAAAAACACTTCATAAGCTGTTGGTTTTAATATGATAGTGTAATGTTTTGTCTTTTATTTGTTTATAATGCCTCCTGGGAGCAGTGTGTTGTTTAGACTTTAATGTTTTGCACCTAGTTGTTTGGGTTATTTTGCATTTTTGTAAGTTTTGTTTTGAGGCGTAGGCCCCAGGGGAGTGACTTGCGTTGTTGGGTGCTTTTTTCTCGGTTGACGTCTTTGAGTTGGTTTCTTTTTATTTGTTAGGTTAAATGCACTTTTTTTTTCTCGGTTACAATTAGGTTAAAGTTTAGAAAGCTTTTTAATAAAGTAATCTACTTTGTCTTAGGTTTTATAATTTTACAACTGTCTTCTTGCAACTTATCATGGTCATGCAAATAAGGAAAGATCTGAAATTGTACGAGTACGTGCATGAGTACGTACTCATGAGTTAGACCAAACGACAACAATAATAATATGTGTATTTGTAAACTTATTTTCACATAATTTAAAAACTTATTTTTTACATAATTTAAATTTGTAAAGTTCATGACAAAATATTACATTATTTAAATATAATTCAAATGTTTAAATATAATCTTTGAATATAGAAATAGATTTGTTAAGTAATTGAAGATAACACATTTATATTTACTTAACTTGTACAATAAAATTATTTTCGATATTATTTTTTATTTTTGTAATATTTGAATAAAAACTCTACGAAAAAAATTACTTATCATGGTCATAGACAAGTGAGAATGATTTTTTTTTCAACTTTTTTTACCATAAATCTCTGTATAACCAAATCAAGCATAGAATCACGGAAAGAAACAAAAACCAAAATAATGGGAAAATAAAAGAGAAACAACAAACTTGTTCACACCGTCTAGCTACATAAATATTGACAGCGAAGTGGATAAAAAAATCCAACATAATCCACAAAGAAGAAACAAAGGGGAACAACTACAACTAAAAGAGGTTGGCTCTAAGAGGATAGAACTTTTCTCTAGAAAAAAAAAATCCTCTTTTGCCAACTAAAATCGGTCGCGAGATTCAACATAGTGCATTAAGAGTAAAGCCAAGTATGACGGTCAAAGTCATGGTTCAATTTATGTGGTTCTCCATGGACATTATTATCATCAGGTTCCCATGGCCAAGAACACATGAAGTCCCAATCATTCCCACTATCTCCGCCTCCTCCACCAGTACAATTCCAACCTACTATTTCATTATTATTATTAGCTGTCATTTCACTAAAATCCAAATCCCCATGTGGTTGTAGCAATTCACTATTCGTTATGTCATCAAACCACGTCATCCCATTGCTTTCAATGCTCTCAAGTAGAGCTAAAATTCCACCACTAGGGCACACCATTGAATTCTCCATGCTGGTTCCTTCCTTATCTTCCACCGAAATAATGGACAGGATTTCTTTTTCTAATGCTGCGGTGGATGGAGACGGCACCGTTTCATCTACTCGAGGGTTTTCTATAGGTTTCTTAGTTGAGGGTTTAGTGTTTCTTCCTCCTTTACGCTTGGCGATGACGGCCTTGTTGAAGTCCATGACGACGGGGATTGTGTGGGTAAATGACCTTCTAAAGCTGTGAATTTTTCTACTCAAATGCGAGTTCCAGTAATTCTTTATCTCGTTGTCTGTTCTTCCTGATAAGTGACTGGCGATTAAAGACCACCTGCGGGTCAAACACGATATAAAATTTTAAATTAGAGAGAGAATTTTTAAAACTTATAAAATTTTAAATGAGACAAAAATAAATTTTTAATGAAAAATATATAAGAAAAACTTAAAATTTATAATAATTTTAAATTTTTAAAAAGATTGTCGTACCCACCGTTCCCAGTCATCAAACGCGTTTAAATTTCACAGACAAAAGGTTTACGTCGATGGAAAAGACAGATTGCTGCAAAATAATCACTTACAAATGAACTGACAAGCTATGAACCCTTAATTAATGTGTTCAGCTAAAATGCTTAATGATAGTTAGACGTCTTTGTTATTGTAGTTAAGGCTAAACAATAACACATATTCTTGGATGTTAAGAAAACGAATAAAATAGTACTTTTATAGTAATTTTTTAAAGTAAATTTATGTTATCCTATGTTATTTTACCTAAACTAACATATTTGTGTAAATTATCATATTCAAATTCCAATTATTAAGAGAAAATAAAAATTTTAACCTCTAAGACTACTTCAAGAATTCTTATAATATATTCTTGTATGTTAAGTAAATAAAAAATAATACTTTTATAACTATTTAATGAAAAAATAAATTTAAAAGACATACTTCATTAAAATTTTAAAATGTGATGAGATTCATTAAGCGATGTGAAATATTTTTTTTATTTATTATTATAATAATAAAAATTAATTAAATTATTTTATTTAATATATTTTTTATTAGTCTAATGGGATTATAAGGTAGTATTTATTTTAAAAAATCTAAATAATTTGAGAATGAAAGTTCATCATCTTTACAATCTTTAATGCTCGAACTTGTAACTCCTAATGACAACTATCGTTTCTTTAATAACTGAGATAAATTGATTTGTACATATTTAATGTAATTTAAGTCTATACATATTTAATATAATAAAACATAACAATGAATGTGTTGTAACATTATTTTTTAGTTAAACCTATCTTATAAGATTTAATTTTTTTCAACGTTATAAATTATTATTTTACTCATTTTATTATCAAATAAATATTTTTTATATATAATTTAATCAAATATTTTAATTATAAATTAAAAGATAATATTATTTAAACTTAAATTTTATTAATAATGTGATTTTGACGTGTAGTTAAGTCTATTCCAACAGTACATATGCATATTAATTACGTAGAGCTCGAAGCTTAGCTGTTATTTTTATAGAGAGAAAGAAATGGCGGATGCAATGAAAAAGAGCTGAAAGAGCCAAAAGTCCACAAAAAGTCGACAAGTTATCTTTTATTTAATGACAGCTTGCGCAGAGCTTTTTTCCTCCACATAAACTAGAAGGGAAAAAACATTATTTCAGTCCAGAAAGGAGGGGGGGGGGGAATATGATTTATTTTAAGGTAGGTTGCACTCTAAAATGAAATTCAGATTTGAATATAGGAGAATGACAATTATAATGGAATAATAATAAAATTACCTACTAATGTTTGTATAAAATGTTATTTTAACTATTAGTTTTATTTTGGAATATTCTAGTTTTTAATATTTTAATTTTTATTAAGATATCTCATGACTTTTTTATTTTGGAGTATTCTACTTTTTAATATTTTATTTTTATCAAAATATCTCATGCTAGAAAGAAATTATTAATTGACTAAAGAACATAAAATTTTTAGGTATGTTAAATTGTTGACTTGTAACATGTCACTCAAAATATGATATAATATGTATTATGTCACTCAATATATAATATAGTATGTGTTATGTCACTCAAAAAACTGACATAAAATATTGACATGACATATGACATGATAATAATTAAATACATATAAAATTATCATGTTATTAACATGATTGCTAAATAACTAATGATTTTCTTTTAGAAAAATATTTTAACCAATAAATAAAATATTGAGATCTATAATATTAAAAAAATAAAATATTAAGAGTTAAAATATTAAAAAATAGAGGTCAATTTGATATTTATAAAAACATTAGAGGTAGTTTTATCTTATGCTAATTATAAATAAAAAAGTAAAACGAATTTAAAAGATTAAGAAAAACCAAAGAGGCAGACTAACCTATTTCCCAAAGAAGCATGCAAATTAAGGACGAGTTCTTCCTCTTGGGCAGTAAAGTTTCCCCTTTTTATGTCAGCTCTCAAGTAGTTAATCCACCGTAGTCTACAACTCTTCCCACACCTCAGTAACCCTTCAAAATGCCAAAACAAAAAGGGTAAGAAAATACAGAGTGATGAAATCGCATAAATAAAGAGAAAATTATAGAGGGATGAACAAAACATTTCACATTAAAAGATGAATTTGTACAACTTTAAAAAAGAACGAATTTATAAAATGATACCAATGAAAAACATATCATCAATAAAAATTAAAAAAATAATATATATATAATAATTTAAAATTTTTAAGGAGTACATCCGCCCAGTAACCCTTTCATCCATCCCTGACCTCGGATATATATTAAAGTACCTGCATTCTTGGGCAATGATCTCCAAGAGCCTTCACCATTAGCTTGAATATACTTGGTCAATAGCTCATCCTCTTCCTTCGTCCACCTCCCTCTCTTCAACCCTACCTTTTCACAGCAAGGCGCTCTCCCCATGTCCGGGAAGAGTAATAAAACTTTGTCGATCGCTGGCTAAAATGAGAAGCCCCCCAAAGTAACTACACCAGCAGGTTGACTTGTTCAGGTACCGACAATATTAAAACAATTTTTTTTTGGTAACAAATTGTTGCTATTTGGATGATCGGTTTGTAAAAGGTGAAAGTTGTAAATATATATAGAGAAAAACAAGGGAGGGAGGGTTTGTGGTGGCGCACGTGATTGGGGGGATTGTATTTGTGGTGACACATGGCGCCACGTTTGGGTTGAGACCGGAGTCATAGAGTGTCGTCGTGGCATTGCTGCCGTCCATAGGGATCATCAAGGGTATGCGTCTCCCACGTTGAGCCTTAATGCTCTCCTACCAATCTCCTTTCTCTACGTACATAATAACGCAGATTAACACTTCAATAGTTTCGTTATCACTCAATTAGGTAATTTAATATAAGTAATAGAACGAAGCGATTTGAGTGATAAGAAAAGGCAAAATCAACGAGATAATCCTCTCGAAGTTTTTATTTCACGAGATAATGCAGTGCTCAGATTAATTGTTCAAATGGGGTAAATTCTACAGTGATGGTCGTAGCTCGCCATGCCATCCGGGCGACCTACGACGTGGCAACATCTAGACGAACCAACATAGGTCGCCATGCACGCCCGGCGTCCTTATAGGTCGCCATGCAAGCCCGGCGTCCTTATAGGTCGTCATGCACGCCCGACATCCTAATAGTTCTCGTGATTCTGCTACTCTGCCCGGCTGCTGCTCTGCTTTGGTGCTATGCATGGGCCATGCACGGGGCATGGGATAGGTCGCCAAGCTTTGTTCACGTGTTCTGCTCTCGGCAAACCTCTGCTCGCATGCAGCGTGAATTCAGCTGCATTATTGCAGCACTTATTGTTGCATTATTGCAGCCCTTATTGTTGTATTATTGCAGCCCTTATTGCTGCATTATTGCAGTCCTTCAGCTCACGTGAATGGCCATAACGCAGATTAACACTTCAATAGTTTCGTTATCACTCAATTAGGTAATTTAATATAAGTAATAGAATGAAGCGATTTGAGTGATAAGAAAAGGCAAAATCAACGAGATAATGCTCTCGAAGTTTTTATTTCACGAGATAATGTAGTGCTCAGATTAATTGCTCAAATGGGGTAAATTCTACAGTGATGGTCGTAGCTCGCCATGCCATCCGGGCGACCTACGACGTGGCAACATCCAGACGAACCAACATAGGTCGCCATGTACGCCCGGCGTCCTTATAGGTCACCATGCAATCCCGGCGTCCTTATAGGTCGCCATGCAAGCCCGACATCCTGATAGTTCTCGTGATTCTGCTACTCTGCCCAGCTGCTGCTCTGCTTTGGTGCTATGCATGGGCCATGCACGGGGTATGGGATAGGTCGCCAAGCTTTGTTCACGTGTTCTGCTCTCGGCAAACCTCTGCTCGCATGCAGCGTGAATTCAGCTGCATTATTGCAGTACTTATTGCTGCATTATTGCAGCCCTTATTGCTGCATTATTGCAGTCCTTCAGCTCACGTGAATGGCCCATGCAAAGGTGAATAATTGAAGCAAACAGGGGTGGTTGTATTATATATTGGATGGGGGTTAATGAGTGAAACATAAAAGAAAGAAAGGGAGAAGAGAGCAAGGGAAAAGAGGAAGAAGAAGAAAGGGAGAGCACGACATCGAGGTAAGCTTTTTAATTATTTAAATTAGTTTTTTATTTTAAATTATTAGTTTGTTAGTTTATGGTTTAAGGGTTTACAACATTTTAGTTAATTAGTTAGTTAGTTTAAGGTAAAACAAAATTTTAATTAATTAGTTTGCTTGATGGTTATATTATTGTTAGTTTAAGTTATATCATACATAAATATAAAATTATTTAATTAGTTTGTTTGATGGTTATATATTAAAAAAATAATTAATTAGTGTGTTAGTTAGTCTAATTTTTAATTAGTTTGTAGTTAGTTAAATAGTTAAGTTATATTTTGGTTGTTGAATTTATATTATATAAAAAAATTAGTTAATTAGTTTAAGTTATATAAAAGAATAATTATTAAAATTAGTTTATTGTTATAAATTATTAGTTAATTAGTTTATTATTATAAATTAGGGTAAAACAAAAAATTAGTTAATTAGTTTGGTAGTTTAAGTTATATTATTGTTAGTTTAAGTTATATCATATAGAAATAAAAAATTATTTAATTAGTATGTTTGATAGTTATATATTAATAAAAATAATTAGTTAGTTTGTTATTCGTTAGTTATATATAAAAAATATGTAATTAGTTTGTGTTAGTTAAATAGTTAAGTTATATTTGTTTTTTGAATTTATATTATATAAAAAAAATTAGTTAATTAGTTTTTTAGTAATAAATTATAATTAAAAATCATTTATTAGTTTAAGTTATATTAAAAAACAGTTTATTAGTTAACGTTATATTAAAGAATAGTTAAAGTTATATTAAGAATAGTTTATTAGTTGTTTAAGGGAAATTTACGTTTAACTTATATTTTAAAAATTTTAGTTTGTTAGTTTATTAGTTTAATATATTATAAGTTATTATATTAAATTTTTTTGTTGTGTTGTAAAATAGTTAGTTAGTTAGATTATATTAGTTATATTAAATGATTTTTTAAATATTGTTGTTTACTTTTTTTACAGATTCATTCCAATGGATGACCAAATTCCACCGCTGAGACTTGACAATGAATATATTTCAAGTCATTTGGGAATAATGGTGAATAAAATATTTGTTTAATGAATTATAATTAATAAATATTTGAATATTATTTCATGATGATTGTGATAATTTTTTTTGCATTATTTAATTGTAGGAGGACGAGCAGTGAGTCCTTCGTCTTCGGCTACATAAAGTGCCCAAGCCACACCCAATGATAGAAGAAAACTTGCAAGAGGCTGGATTTTGGTATGTAACATTTGTGCGAGATTACAAGTCGGTCCCAGGTTTGATCAGTGCGTTGATTGAACGTTGGAGACCAGAAACGCACACGTTTCATTTGCCGTGTGGCGAATGCATGATAACTTTGGAGGATGTGGCAATGCAACTCGAGGTCCAAACTAATGGGATGCTGGTGGTAATGTCACATGAGTTTAAAAATGTGGCACAACTTTGCAACTTATTTCTTGGGAAAGCGCCCGTACCACCAGAGTGTAGAGGGTAGCGGGTGAGGTTGTCATGGTTGAAGAATGAATTTCAACTTCAACCAAATAGTACGGAGCACGAAATTATAAATGCAACACGAGCATATATATTACAGTTGATTGGGAGAATTTTGATGCCTGATAAATCCGGTAGTTATGTTCACACTCAGTATCTTCTTTTTTTAACAAATTTTGAGAATTGTAGGCAATATAGCTGGGGTTCGGCAATATTGGCGTTCTTGTATCGTGAGATGTGCAAGGCGTCATTAGTCGTGAATGATATACAGATGGAGGCATAAAATTGAAGGCACGGGGTTGGTGCACAACAACATTAAAGAGTTCAGGCTGAAGATCGACATTAAGGCCAAAAAGGAGGTATGTATAATCTGTATTTTTTAATTATTATTTAAATTAACTATATTATTTAATTTAAATCAATTTTATTGTTTTTTGTAATTTTACAGTTTAATTGGAGACCATACATGAATAAAGAATTATTTGCGTTGATACCGCACGATATTTTAGATGGGTTTCAATATTGGTGTGCTGTTACACCATTGATCAATTTTGCTTTTGTTGAGATCCAATTTAGGGATAGAGTGCTGAGGCAATTCCACTTCCACCAACCTATTCCACGGAGTCCATGGGATCATGACCTCCTCCAAAACTTAGATGGTCGTCGTCCGGTGAATTGGGTTGAGACGCATGACGACCTGCACAGATTTGATGGGCGTCGTAAAGAATGCGTTAATTGGGTTGAGAAGCATGTAACCTACATTAATGCTTGGAACAATAGGGCTTCATTCATGCCAACTCTTGACGCCATTCAAGATGACGACTTTAATTTTGAGACTTCGGCTTACGTTGCTTATTTTTGGGATAATGGAAAGTCGTTCCTCACAACAATGGTAGAGAGGCGACAATTTTTGAGGTTTAAGAAAAGATTTGTTAAAGCTGAATACTCTCTACCGAGTGGGAGTGGGAGTTCATCTCTACAACCTGAAGCGAAAATGACCGATGTGGATAATAGCGCACCACAACCGTTCGACGATGCGGGATCGTTGCATCACGCAGTTGATGATTCTACTGTCCCGGCATACATACCAGAGTTTGTGCAGCCTGAGGCACCCATCTATTCTCCTACGTTTTCGTCGACATATGACTTTGAACACATGGCAGTTCAAATTCCCCCAATTAATGAGGATGATGGGTACAATACTCCTGAGAAACCACAACGGCCACAACGTATCAGACGTCCGCCTCGACATTATCATTCAACAACACCTCGGCATCGACAAGAATTGTAAACTCATTTGCTATTTATTACAAATTATATATTGAAATTAGACTAGTTTTTTAACCTTAACAATGATTTTTAGTATCAAATCATTACTAGTATCATTAGTATTAAATAATTAAATATTTAGTAATTCGACTATTTTAAATCATTAGTATCAAATAATTAAATATTAATAATAAATCATTATTAATAATAATTAGTAAATCATTAGTATCAAATCATTAAATATTTAAAAATCATTACTAAATTCGACTATGTATAAATTAAAACTCGAGTAGTCCACACTTGTACACTCATTTGTTATTATTCTGTAATTATTAGTAATAATTATTAAATCATTAATATTAAATTATTATTATAAAATAATTACTAAATAATTACTATTAAATCATTATTATCATTATTATTATTAAATCATTATTATCATTATTATTAAATCATTATTATAATGATTATTACTAAATCATTATTATAATGATTATTATCAAATCATTACTAAATCATCAAATCATTAAATATTTAAATCATTATTAAATCATTATTATAATGATTATTACTAAATCATTATTATAATGATTATTATTATCGAATCATTACTATAATGATTTTTATCAAATCATTACTAAATCATCAAATCATTAAATATTAAATTTATTATTAAATTCATTATTAAATCATTATTTAAATTATTATTAAATCATTTTTATGGTTAATTGAACCACACGTCCATTCAAATCAGTTCAAGTCTTCGAATTGTAAATGTCATATCAATTAGGTCACTCTATTTAAAAACTCCGATCGAATATTTTATCGACAAAAATTACATAAATTCAACTTAAATGTGAAGATATAATAATTTATCACCCTATTAGTAAATCATTATTATTATAATTTCATTATTATT